TTTTTTTAAAATTTTTTTCTTTGTTTTTTTTTTTTTTTTTTTTTTTTTTTTTGGTTACGTTAAAGTCAGCTCTGTTGTACGTGCAAATGAATTGTACCTGTAGACTTCTTACAGGAATCCTGCAGCGTGCTGAAGGACAGACCAGTATGTGACGTCGGTGGGAATGTGATGCAAACTGGTGAATGTGTTTAAATGTTTAAAAACTCCTTGTCAGCGTTTCTGAGCCTGCAGAGATCAAACCACCGCACACGCTGCGCCCTTCGGATTGAACCGAACTCCACCTGAAAACGATATCTTACCTTGGAAAGAGCGATCTGAACGAAGAACTTATTTATTAGACTAAGAGTTTATGTGAATGTGTGGATCCGCGTCAGAAAAGGTGAAAAGCTCGGTTTGGGTTTTTGTGTTTGCTTGTGGGAGTTGATGCTGCTGAAACTGCATTACCAACATCTCACGGTAATAATTCTTCAATGTTAAACATGCCTGTTTATGGGGAGCAGTTGCCTTTTTCTAACTCTCTGTAGTTTACTTTGGTTTTGTTTTTTTCTGATTTTGTTGCATGTGAACATTTTTCATGTAGGAATCTGAAACGAAGCTGTAGATTGTAACCTTAACGGGAGAAAATCTGAGGTTTCTGTGTGAGGATCACCAGCTACCAACTGTTTTTATTTGATGTTGCTTTACTAAAGCAAAGCACAAATGGCATTATTAGATGATGTTTTTAAATAAATTAACAATAGAATAACAATAAAGGTGTGTTTTCTTTTGTCTACATGTTTTATCTATCCTGGGAAGAATGGATAAGAAAATACTTAAAATTAAATTCGGCTTTCATTGCGGTTGCAGAATACCCAGTGGAAGATTTTGGAAAAGTTAACCTTTGATTTAAACATTATTTATCAAATCAAATTTGAATTATTTAGTGTCTTGGAAACATTTTCACATCCTTTAGTTCTTCCAGAATATGTTTTATTTTCTGCAATAGACCAGCACAAAGAACTGAGTGAATTTGGCTCCCACAATTTAAAAACAAAATTAAAGTCAAACATTTTTTTACAAAGCTTAGCTTGTGCTGCTTTCATTTTAATGATATTGATAAATGTTTCCAAGGGTCATTAAAGGTCAACTGACCCCCATCCCCTACATTTACAAAATCAGATGAAATATGTCGGTCAATGCTACATTTGTGCTGCAGAATTTTTCGTTATATTATCGGGACGTATCGGTATTGGCCAATATTAGCTGTAAAATGTAATATCGGTCGTTCCATCAAAGTAACTGATCGATATAAAAGTTGTTTTTATGTGACTGACGAAGACGCCTGCAGCACAAATGTGCACAGTTTGAGTGTTTTCACTGTCATGAATTCATTTAACATTAAAACATAATCCAAGCTGAAAGTGTTGCATCTTTTTTAGCCTCATCTTTAGCATTTGGTAGCAGGACAAATGG